AAGTCATCAAGGGTGAGAGGGCTCAACCGGCTGGGAGCATATAAAACGAACAAAGTAGACAAACTTAGAAAAATTCCATATGCATTTATTACTACAAGTTTGTTTCGTATGGACAGCTGTTAAAGGCTGCCCACACTCATCAGGTACAAATACATAGTGAGTAGTCAATACAAGGATTACATTTATGCTATGGTTCCTACCATTGTCTAACTGAGGTGTTAATATTGCTTAGTTGTTACACAATAGATGCTTTTTTCTGTGTCTACATGAAGTTACCAATTCATTTCTGTTATTTAATGTGCCTAATTTTGGTTTACAAATTATGAAATACTTTTCCATCAGGCACAGATTACACTTTTTTGGGGGCCGGAGAGTATGGCTTGCACTTGGCTATGATTTTCCATTTTAACGAATACAGGATAGAGTTATCTTTAAGAGTCCATATATATATTGGCTAAGAATTCCCAAAGTTATGTTGTTACTGTTATGTCCGTTGTATCTGGTTTTGAACGTGTGTTCTGTTAGTCAAATATATGTTTCTTGGGTTTGGTTGTCATATCTGGTAACTGTCGCTTGGTATATAACTCCTTTGATTAAGCAGTTTCCTTCTAATGGGCATGTTACATTTCTTCTGCAATTACAATTAGTTTTTTTAGCAGCGTCTTGTTGTAAAGGATTATTTCTCAAATATTGTTCTTTAAACAGCTATTTGTTTAAACTCCGGTAAATTTATAATGAACTGATTTAAATGATTGTTTTACCATTGTATAAGCTCTCTAATTTTACTGTTTAACCCTGTATTAATAATAAAAGATAAATTTTTGTGACGAGTGACTGGTTTGGCCTGTCTTTGCCACTTAAGTAGTATTCTCAGTGAGTTGAAATTCAATGATCTAGCAATATTGGCTTAGGCATAATATAGAGAATTGTTTCCTCTCAATTTTGCATATCTGTTTTAAACTTGTTTCATGTTTTTGGCCTATATTTTGCTGATTAGACGTATTCTCCAGTTCTTAAAAAATAGCCGCCCCTTAAGTGTTTGTGATACAGATCAAAACAGGGGTGGCGCCAGCGGGGGATGGGGCAGGCCCGATCCGCTGTCGGCAAGAGCTGCCTGCGTCGGTGAGGAAAACCACAATTCATCGGGGAGAAACAAAATGTAAACTTGCTTCACTAAATCATATCAATTATTCTCTGCAGAGATAATTTATGTATGTTTTTGGTTGTCAACTAGTGATTCTAACCAGCATTATTTTTTTTTAATTTCTTTGTGATGATGTTGTGTTCTCTTTGATTCTTGTGCCCATTCTATAAGCCATATTGTAGTCGGTTTTGTGGTTTGTGTTAGATGTGTTAGCCTCTATCAATCGTCCTACTCTTTTTATTATTGCATATTTTTAAAAGAAACAAATTCTTCTTAACAGTTTGTACGTCCTTCAAAACCAACGTTTATACGTTTCTATGATGGCGGTGGTAGTCTTGTATACTCAATAGACGTTTCTTCCCGCCCACAAGTTGTATACAAGTCATCGACAGATCGTTCCATCACGATTACGACAGAAGGAATCCTACTTCTTGAGAAACAAAAATATTACATTTTGATGGACTCTGGCGTTGCTACCGGTTTAGAATTATGTGGCCCAGAATCACCACCATTACGAGACCGGTATTATTGGACATTCACAATACGTAAGAATATTTATATGGATGAAACTGACAGTTTTTTTAATCGAACATCTATATTTCACCGCATATTTTTTTTCTTTATGTTATCTTTTTACTAAAATTTAAAAACTTCTGCTGGATATTTTTATAATTCGATGTTAAGCCCCTGTCCAGACTATCAAATTTTATTTGAAAAAAACATGTGACATGCCTAAATATGATCATGATGACATCACGCCATGACCACATATAGGCACATCATGACTATATATGGGCATACAACAGTTTGTTTTGTCAAAGAAAATTTGATAATGTGGACAGAGCGAGTGAAACTTTCTCGAGTGAAATTTCACTCTTAATTGAGTGAATATTATTCTTAGGTAGTGAAAAAATTACTAAAATCTCACTCTTTCTATTTCACTCCGCCAGGAGTGGTCCCTACAGGTACTCTCACCACTCTTTTTTCACCCTTTTGCAATTAGAGAGTAAAAAACAAGAGAGCGTATCATTGATCTTTGTTCAAAGTGTGCGCGTTGAATACAAGTGTTGAATCCAATTTTGTGTAAGGCATCTGCATCGAGAACAACAATTTTCGGGTTGGATTCTTGGTTGGAAAGACCTTTTCACACTTGTTGTCGTTTACAGTTTATATAAATTCATGAAGCATTACCACAAGATGGTTTAGATTTTCCTTTTAAGTATATTTATATACATTGAAATATACAAATAGGTAATTATAGAAACAGTGCTCAAATAAAACAAAAAGACTATAACTTCGAAAAGAGAGAGACATTTTGAGATTCAACGTTTCGATCTATTTGATCATTTTCAAGTATACTGGTGAGAAAATCTCACTCATCCATATATGTTTACAACAGTTACAGAAGTATAACAGAAAGGAAATAAAAACCGACCAATTCAGATTAAAATCAAAGTTATAACTAGCCAATTAAAAATGAGGTAATTAAAAATGAGGTCATTCCTGATGATGACATAATTAATGTCGAAATATTGAATCCCAACACGATCACGTGTATTTCAATACTTGGAGTATGTATTATACTTTCTTAAAAATGAGGTGTGTCTTATATTAAGGATATCACTTATTATTGTGAATAAACAATGACTAATCAACAATTATTCAACAATAGTATAGAAGCCTGGGAATGCTGGCTGAATGAAAGTCTTGTGACATGAAATAAACAATAAGATAATTCAGTGAAATAAAATATATACTTAAACATTAGAGATATAGTAATAAATTATATTATATAGCTCATCCACAAATGACTTTCTTATCAGCCGCATAAAAAGTGTCTCCGACAGGACTCGGACTAGGAGGTTTTCGTTATGAAGGCAAACGTATACATAAACAATTGAGAGGGGTTATTAAATCATGATAACCATAAAATGATATATAGTCTGAACTTACGTAAATATCCGTGTATAATAATACTACATTCGTACATTTAAAACAGGTGATACTACACCGCCCGTTTTGGAATTTGTCAGTAGACCATCAAAAACTAGTGAAAATATTACGATTACCTGGAGATATAATGAAAACTCTACATCTACATGTACTCTTCGTAAGCCGTCCGGATTAATTGAAACGGTTAGGTGTGTGGACGAAACCTGGTCTGCAACTGGCTTAGATGAGGGTAGCTATGATTTGTACGTTACCGGAACAGACATCTCTGGTAATGTTGCGGAATCGTCATTACACTCATGGATTGTGGGTAAGTATTTCATCTTTTCGTTTTCTGAAATATATTCATTCATTCATTCTATACATAGGCGGATTCAAGGGGGGTGCCCCTGTCTCTTATACACATCTAGATGTGTATAAGAGACAGGTTGTCATTACACTCATGGATTGTGGGTAAGTATTTCATCTTTTCGTTTTCTGAAATATATTCATTCATTCATTCTATACATAGGCGGATTCAAGGGGGGTGCCCAGCCGTCCAGGACCCCCCTAAATTTTTCAAAAAAAAAAAAAAAAAAAGAAACTTCTACTAAAATTTTGAGTCTAAAGGGTGCCATTTATGGCCATCTAGAGGCACCACAATAACATTTCTTACCTTAGACCCAATAACCATGGTGGGGCTAATGTAGTTTAGACTCTCCATCTGTAAAAGTTCCTCTTCCCCCCCCCCCCCTATTTCAAATATCTGGATCCGCCACTGATATAGCTCAGATAATGTTGCAGTTTGTTGAATTTATGTGATCATAAATATTCATATAGAGGGCAACGTAGTGTAGTTAGTAACTCTGTATTCATTATAAAATAATATTATATGATTCTATGATGATGATGATGATTACTTCCTTACTATTTACTTACTTGATTACTTGATTGTTGAAACGTAAGCAGAGCTTATACGTCACCATAATTTTTAGGTCAGGTCATATTGCCTTATAACTATGTGTGTCTATGTGTGTACATATGTGTATATATATATATATATATATATATATATATATATGTGTGTGTATATTTGTATGTATATATATATATATATGTGTATATACATGTATATATATATAAATTTATATATAAGTGTGTATATATATATATATATATTGCAAGACGATTTAGAGCTTATCTCTCTTATATCTGTCTCTTATACACATCTAGATGTGTATAAGAGACAGTATATACATCATACAGTTTTTAAAAAATAGATCAAAAACATCTTCTTTGTCAGTCGATGAGAGAAGTATCTGGGAGTGAGGTCTACGCCTTTATCGTATAGGTCTCTGTGGTCTAGTAATATGATCTAGTGATATGACACCGAGATAGTAGGAGGCTACACGTTCGAGAAAATTTTTATACAACTGAAAAAGGAGCTTTCATTGGTAACCATCTTGAAATCCAATATGGCGACCTTCTGACATAATTTCTAATGATTGCATGATACTCTCAAATGTTGAAAATATAGTTAAAGATGTGATTGACTGTGTTACCTTACTGTATATATATGAATATATTGACAAAAATAACAATATTTTGTCAGCCATCTTAAAATCAAATATGGCGGCCATCTGACATAATTTCTGATGATTGCATGACATGACAGTGTTATGTGCTGTAGACATAAAGATATTGATAAAATTCAAATATTTTGGCAGCCATGAAGATGGCGGACACTAGGCGGTGTTATTTTTGGGGGTCTATTTTTCAATAATCCTTAGGTGTCATAGTACCACTGGGGGAAGTTTCATGCTTTCTTCTAAAAGTGCACGATTATTCTTCTTAGCCCTTTACTATTAACACTACTGCGATTTTATCTCATTTTAGTGTTTTCTAAATATTCTTATGTTATGAAAAATAATATGAAACTGCTTTCAAAACCATGCAACCTATCGTCTTTTAGTGCTCATATTCTTCTAATCGCGACGTTCGCTTACTAGTGGATAATAATGATGAGGTGATGGTGATCTATGATGATGATAATGATGACGATAAATGTATTGAATTAATTACAAATGATATTAAAATAATCTGTTTAGATTCAACCGCCCCTGTTGTAACAATAAGGTCAAAGCCGTCATCACAGAGTAATGACATACAACCAGACTTCCAATTTCAGTGCAACGAGAATTATTGTACTTATGAATGCAGTGTATTTCGTCAAAATGAAACGTCGTCATTTGAAGGTTGTTCTAGATTCTTCACAACTGATCTTTTGATGGAAGGGTCTCATACAATTCGTGTTAGGGCAAGTGATCAAGTAGGCAACGTGGGTACTCCAGTTGAATACATGTGGTTAATAGGTAAGTAACAAAATGGTGTACGATTATAACGTAGTGTATAAAGTATACATGCAGATTTTAACCGCAATAGTCCCTTTGTTATTTAATATTATATAAATTTTATAGGCAATAGATTTTAATTGTTGTAGTTTGTGGTCATTGCAGGTAACAATTACATACACATAAATGCATATATATTAAAACGTATTCAAATGCTGTCGGTTTTTTTAAATAAATGTAAAAAATATAAAGTCTAAATTAAATATTGTGTTATAAACAACAACCTGGGGCGGATGCAGGGTTTGGCTGTGAGGGGTGCGTGCAAGGGCGCAGATCTGTTTGGAAAGGTGGGGAAAATAGTTCTTGTAGATGGCTGGAAGTGACACTTTTATATAGTAAAATTCATCATCATCACATCACCATTATATAGGCCAAATGAAGTGCCAGCAAATTTCTCATGATCTTTTATCAGTGATTTTCGGCAACCAACACGGATCTTCATATGAGTGATGTACTACCATAGAAAATAAAACTAAAGGAACACTTTCTTTGATGTATTAAATTCGCTTGACCTAACTAAAGCCGTGAGGCCACATCCACCTCAGCTCCAACATGGTTGGGGCTGAGGCAAGGAAATAATACCTCTAGATGGCTGGAAATGACACTTTTAAATAGTAAAATTCATCATCATCATATCACTGTTATATAGTCAAAATGAAGCGCCAACAAATTTTCATGAGCTTTTATCAGCTATTTTCGGCAATCATAGAGATCTAATTAATATGTTTGATGTACGGTATTATAGAACATAAAACTTAAAAACATTTTCTTTGATCAATTTACCTCACCTACTGTACTTCAAAACCATGAGTCCACACCCATCTTAGCCCCAACATAGTTGGGGCTGAGGTGGTAAAATTTGGGGAAATAGTACCTCTAGATTGCCGGAAATGACATTCTTATATAGTAAAATTCATCATCATCGATCCAATTAATCAATCTGATGTACCATAGAAAATAAAACTTAATTGTCTGATGTATTTACTTTACTTTACTTAATACTTCATGTGCCAAAATTCAATTTCATCTTTGCCCGCTTTTCAATTCTCATACTTCTCAAATTATAATAAAGGCACGCGCATTCTAGTCGTGTATTATTATAATACACATCTAGATGCCCCCCTGCATCCGCCCCAGGCAACACCAATAATAATTACTGTGATAATTATATGATGATGCTAATGCTAATGATGACGATGATGATAATGATAATAGAAATACTAGTATTATGTTGATGACATATAAATTCATATTATATATTTATTTGAAAAGATGTAACGCCTCCAAATATTCAGTCGCTGCCCGTGGTTCATCCAATTATATGTGGAGAAGATTTTTCATCAATAACAACTGGCGTGCCTGACGTCACTGACACCCAGGATATCAATCCGGAATTGAGTAGTGAAGATATTCCGGCTGCAGAATGTACAATAAATAGAATGTGGACAGCGGTAGACGCCGCTGGAAATTCTGCAACATTAACTCAAATACTACAGTTTTCAAATCCACTTCCACCAATTCTGAACATTGATGAAAGCCTATTAATTCCATGTGGAGATTCTTTGGAAGGTACCACTGACGCTGAACTACTTATAGAAGAGGGTCTTTTGAAGCATCCATGCGGAAGGGAAATGAACGTCATTTACACTGATTCTGTAGACGTATATCAATGTGATATCACATTCAGTAGAATTTGGACAATTTCTGATGATTGTGGGAACTCAATCTCAGAACCGCAGATGATCAGAGTACTACCATTACATTTACCTGTGCAACCCATTATAGGCCAGATAAATGTTGACCGCTACGAAACACTGATATGGCCTTCCTATCCTGGATCGGAGACTTGTAGATTGTACGTTTGGCCTCAAGGTGATCCTAGACCGGAAGATGGCACGTTTCTGACATCGTTATCATACTTTCCAAACGATCCTTATTTGCAATATACACAATACCTTTGGCAGGTTGAGTACATACTAGATGCTCAAACAAGTGCGTCCCTCAACGTATCTTTTATACCGAGCCCTGTTTGGGGATTTGAAACGCGAACCTATCCTGATCTTATCGTGACTGAAGTCCACGTTCAACCAGAAGAACACTCTGGGGAAGAAATGACAGTCTCTTGGACCGTAGAAAATATTGGCTATAGAGGAAGTACTGTATCCACCTGGTATGATACGGTTTATTTATCACGGAGTCAAACTATTCAACCAGGAGAATCATGGAGAATTAGACAAGAACAGAAACGATTTCTGGATCCAAACGACGGCTATATGGCATCAGCAACATTTACACTTGCAGACGACGATGTGGGAACCTACTTTGTCTTTGTTTTCGCGGATGAATACAGATACATAAATGATGATATTGATAGCTCCAATAACATTGGACGGAGTGAAACACCTGTGATTATTAAACTAACCCCACCACCAGACCTTCAAGTAAAAAATGTGATTGTGCCAGAATCAGGACGTGCAGGTACTTTAATATACCATTTCGTTTTGATAGCATATTATAAAATAAATGAAAAAGAATATAATTATTATTATCATTTTATTAGGATTTACTTTTCGAAACAATTCTCCAACAGTGATTTTGTTTATTTTATAGACAATCATACGCTTCTATATTTAATAAGTCACATTTTGTTTTCCACTTCTGCAGTAATGTGATGTCAATGGTAGAAATTTTACAAATCAAATAGAAATCAAAACCTTAACAATAATACACAGTATTATTATGAACTGTTATATCATTCTACTCACAGACATTTTGCTTATTTCATAATAGCGTCAGGAAAAAATATCGATGTAGGGTTTACTGTAATAAACGTTGGATATACTGCAACGAAACCAACTACAATGCATGACGCTATTTTTCTGACGGCTAGTAATACTTCAGTCACATTTGATAATCTGCTTGCCAAGGTACCACGCAGTAACGGAATTGCTCCTAATGAAGAATACACTGTCCGAGAAACAGTTACTATACCACGGAAACTGGAAGGCGTGTTTTGGATCTACGTTGTGACTGATTACAACAACGATGTCTACGAGCACCTTAATGAAGATAACAACGGAAAACTTTCAGAGGTAGTATATTTTTGAATTATGTTTATTTTTGCTGTAAATACTATAAAATGCAAGTTAAGTATATATATTCTATTAAATAATACCTTATGTCAATAACCAATAAATGAGTATATCCAGAGGTGACGGAACTAGGGGGTGCTACATTATGGAGAGTAATGTGTGACCGGAAATGTTCTGCAGTCAGTTGGTTGTTACCATGCGCCAGTGATGTTGGAGTACGTCAGCAAGATGAAACTATTTATGTAATGCATGAATAAAGTTCGGGATTTGTCGGGTAGTGAAATGGTTATTGTACATTTTAAGTGCTCCCTCCATGCATAAGTGTAATTAAATTACGGTGATTAATTAGCGACAATATTTCGAAGTTCTCTTTTTTCCAAGAGCGGTACTCATTTTCACAAAGGAATGCACACAACTGGTTAGCTAACAATTATGCACACGTTACATGAACACCTGGGAAGGAAGGTGCAATCACGTTCTGTTGCCTAGCAAACGTCTGTACTGTAGCGTGTGGGTGGGGGGCTAGCCTACTGATGTACTGTGTACCGGGGGACGATGAGGCATAATAAGACTAGGCCTAGGCCTAAGTAGAGAGTGCAATTATATGTGATAGAAAGTACACTTTCGATTAAATAAATTAAAATAAGAAAAAAAAGTAAGAATAATTCAGTTGCAGACGTACCTATATTTTGAGTGTGACGTCACCAAAAAATAAAAATTTACTATATACGGTAACCAAAATATTAATAACTACAAGGTTTGTGGACGTAAATTCCCTTAGTACCAATTAAGTGTAGCAGAATCTCCTTGCCATACAAATTACAGCTCCCACTGACGTCTCAGTCGAGAAATACGGGTAATTGAAGTTTTTTTCGCAAATCTGACTACGAAACCATATCGAAATTTTACGTTCCACGGGAATCCTGCGTCAAGTCAGGATTCTTCACTGACAACTGCTAACAATATAGACAAATATTTATAATAATAATGACAGAAATAATAACAACTAACTGATAACAATAATAATACAAATTGTTTACATTAATGATGATAATAATATCATTGTTAGAATTAAAATTATTATGATAATGATGAAAATGATGATATAATAATAAATAATACAAATTCATAATAATGATACTGATGATGACGATGACAAAGAGAGAATAGGAACATCTATTGTTGAATACGATGTGATATGTTTTATTGCGACTATAGTGTGGTCAATTTAAAGAGCAATTTTTTAATGTTCATGTGCTCAGCCGATTCAGCTTCAGCTGAACTGGTTCGTACTATGGAAATTCATAGGATGGAGACTACTGGTATATTCAGATATATTTTGCAGACACCTAATGTTAAATTCTTTAAACTCAGTTTGAGTCGTGAAACAGCATCATTTGATATGACAGCTTTGTGATATGTTATTACCATTGATGAGGAACTGGCAGGTGTTTTTTTTTTCAAATTTTGGATAGTTTGGTCCTCACTATCGTTGTTTAATTTACATTTACAGTACTTACAATTTAGCTTTTCCTTAGGCTTTAAAAGGTTCCTCTACTTGTTTAGCTCCCTTAAATTGAGAGCAAATTCAAAAGCTTATAATCGAAATCACAATGTATCTAAACCAAAATATTAGGATCAGCTCAGAGAAAAATAATGATATAAGACTTTATGATTACCTTACAATAATAAACTTTGTATATACTGGTTTCTATTTAGAGTGCAATTACAGTCTTTATCGGTCAGCAACCAGACCTTGTTCCCACGCTGCTTGAATCGCCATCAGAAGCTGAGTCTACAGAAACAATAACAATATCGTGGTCTGGAGAGAACAAAGCTACTGAAGAACCATTCGAAAATTTCTGGGAAGATCGTTTGGTAAAGACATGAGCGATTTTAATATATCGTTAATATTTACAATTAGCCAATAAATGTAATGTAAATGTTGTATATCCTATAAGAATATTAGACATTGGGATTTTATATAATCTAGTCTTTTTGTCGAATGTCATAATAATGCAACCACTGTACCTAACCTTCTAATTTAACTTCTTAATAAACTAATAAAAAACAAAATCAGTATTCATTTAATATCAATATAGGCCTACATTGGACATATTCTGTTTTCACTGTGAGCTTTACTGAAAGGAGTGCATAGTACATTTTCCTCCTATTCTATTCATTCACTTCACATTAAAACCGTTCCTCTCTATTAAACGAATTTCAATATAGACTTAACACAGTTCTTCAATTTTTTCAGACTATATCTGGGCCTGATTTGGATCCAATAAGCATATCAACTCAGACGTTTTCTGGAGATCTACATATTGATGAGCAGTATGACAGACACGCCGTTTACAAAATTCCATCAACTTTACTGACTGGCATATACAACTTGACTATTCACATTGATTATAGAAACCAAGTCTTTGAATATGAAAATGATGCCAACAATGTTAAATATAATTCATTGTACATTTATCAAAAGTTACCGGATTTACAAGTTGGTTTTCTTAACGCAACGCCTGTGTTTGATATCGATACCAACACAGCGTGGCTACACGTTAACTGGCGTGTTGTGAACCATGGAGCAGGCAGTCCGGGGGTTAGTTATTGGACAGATAGATTATATCTATCTATGAGTCAAGGAATTGATTATTCACAACCCATTGGAGAAGTAACCCACATGCTTGGAGATGCGACGGAGGAAGTAATTGGCTTACCTCCAGATTCTTCATATCTTGTGGAGACTAGGTTTGATTTACCACAACACTATTTTGGGGAATACAAGCTAATTATCAAATCGGACTTTCGGAATCAGATTAATGAAGAGGATAATTTAAATAATGAAATTTCTATTTCAGTCAGTATTCCACAGAGAATTTCAAACCTTGTTGTTACAAATACTAATTTTGGTGATGGGTCACCAAAAGAAGCAGTGGCCGGAGACCAACTTTATTTTGAGTGGACGGTATCAAACGAAGGCAATTGGCTAACCAGCGAAAGTGAATGGACAGATGTGGTGTATCTATCGAGGTTAGACTATGTTGACATATCAGCAATTGTAATAGGATCGGTAAAGCAATTTCAACATTTGAATCCTGGCGCATCATACACTTCTTCGATTCAATTTGTTCTCCCTGATAATCTATGGGGCACTGTCTTTATTTTAATATACATAGATAACGACGGGGAGCTTCTGACTCACGGCCTAAAAACTATTCATAAAGAAGAACTTAAGGTGTCTTTACCACCGTCTCCACAACTTGGTGTTATCGACTTACAATACAATATCCTAGGCTATAGAAGACGAAAACGCCAGACGTCAGACTTTTCTTCATCCACACGCTACTTGTCAGTCACTTGGTCTATACGGAATTCTGGAAATTCCATGTTCAAATCATATACATGGTCTGATGCTGTCATAATCACAACTGAAAAAGGTGTTACAGAATTTCCAACAGGAAATGTCATTGGGACTTTTCAGACGGTATCTAAATTATATTCTGGTCAGATTTACAACGTGTCAAAGATATTTGTTATACCAGATAGTATTAAAGGAGGAACATTCTATGTTTACGTAATTCCGGATTACTACATGACGCTTGCGTATACAGAATTAGAAATACTACCAGTTTTTGACGTCAATAAACCAGTTGATATTCCAGTAATTCCAGAACCCGATTTAGAAATAATCTACAAGGATACAATCCCAGCAACAATAACGGCTGGAGAAACTATATTTGTTAAGTTTCAAGTTGTCAATATTGGTGGTGCAACGAGTGTTAGCTCTTGGAATGATGCTGTCATTCTGGATGATGTCTCGCAAATAGCACCAGGCGACTCAGCTCTGAAGCTCACAGAGATACGCCACCTTGGAAGCCTGGGTTATGATGGATCTTATCAAGTAGAAACTATTGTTACATTTCCTTTTGGCATTAAAGGGTCATACACATTATTCATACAAATCGATACACTTCAAAGCGTTGAGGATGTTGATAAAGATAATAATATTTTCAGAGCACCTGTTCCAATTGATGTGCTCCCAGCTCCATTACCAGACATTGTACCTTATTTGCCAACGTTGGGGCTTTCCCTTCGTTCTGGCGAACCATTTTCTTTACACCTAAATATCACTAACATCGGAGTACGGGATGTCAACCAGTCCATTTATAATAGCGTATATCTAAGTGAGGACACTACTATTGATCCTTTCGACCGCACGTTACTAAGTGTGTATACGGCTCTGGATGTAGCAATTAACGAAACGTACGTAGTACCATTAGAAGTTTTCATGCCATATGATATACCATCAGCAGGTTATTATATCATTGTTAAAATCGACAGTAGAGATGATATGTACGAAATTAACAACAATAATAACGTGGCGTCTATCCAGGTTTCAATAGTAGAGACTGTTTCGACAGACATTGTCGTAGTTTCTGTCCAATCAACTCCACCAACTGTTAAATACAACGATGACATAATGGTAGAATGGAGACTCCTTAACAACGGTTCGCTTAATGCAAAGGGATATAAGTGCGATACAACTTACCTGTCCGTTGATGATAAGTGGTCCATAGATGATGAAGAATTAGGAGTCACATGTTCAATAATTAACCTTCCTGGTTCAGGCCAAAGCGGCCAACAGTATTCCATGGTGACCAACCTGCCATTGGTGAATCCGGTTAACTACAACACGATAGTGAGAACTAGAAGCAACATTCGAGACCTTGATCTGGACAACAATATTGGTGTAGCTATAACACCAACATTAGTTGACATGGATCAGTTGATACTTGATACACCACTGCCATTTCAATTAGGTCGTTTCGAACAACGTGTGTTTCGTGTACGGGATGTTGTTGCAGAGGAAACTTTAGTGTTTTCATTAAGAAGCAACACTGATACTGATTTTAATGAACTTTACGTCAAATATGGAGAGATTGTAACAGCTGGAGATTATGATGCAACTGGTCAAGATTTTCTGGTGGCAGATCAGGATACGGCGATTTCAAATTCAAAGGCCGGAGACTATTTTGTTCTTGCAAAAAATTTAGGAAGCATTCTTGCGAATGAAGACAGTGAATTCAAATCTGAAATAACTTTATTCGTGAAATATGCCGAGTTAGAAATACTTGATTTTTTCCCTCAATCAGCAGCTTCGTTTGGCATAACTACTTTGAGAATTTCAGGAACTTTATTTCCTGAAGAAGCGTTTGTTTTTCTGACGAATAATTCAATAGTGATAGAAGCTGTAGAATATTTTCATTTTTCGTCTTTGGAAGTTTACGCCAGATTCAACCTGTCAGGCATCAGAATTGGTTCTTCCTGGTTTGTTCAAATAGTAGACCGTTATAATTCTAAGCTCCAGGCGACATCACGTCATAGTCTTGAAATCATTGATGGAATACCTGGTGCAATTAGCCTGAGACTGAACAGTCCTGGTGCTCTTCGTCCTGAAGAAACAGCAAGGCTGTCACTCTTTACTCAAAATATTGGTAATACTGACGTTATCACTCCAATGATTTTGATAGAAGTCATTGGCGATGCCACTGCTCAGCTAATCCGTGGCTCATATGCATCCGAATGGCAATCGACACATAACATTTACGCAACTTCCCAACAAGGTCCTAGTGGAATCATACCGCCAGGTAGCTATAGTCAAGTAACAATTGATATACGACCAAATAATTTTGATACTCGGAATATCCAACTGAGAATCATTGAACTTAAGCCTTCGGCGAATGTGAACCACCCGTACGTTGATGGTAAAGAAACTCTCCGGCCGGGTGACACAGATCAAGGAGCCTGGGATCAAATTTGGATTAATTTTATTAGTTATGTTGGAATGACACAATTAAGCTTGGCTAAACAACTATCATCTACGGCGAATCAACTAAGTTTGATTAATCGTAGACCTATAGACACTGCAATACTGATTGATTATTTTATAAAGCTTTCGAACGGATTTTTAGCTGGCACATCTCTGTATACCAACACCGACTTGAAGGTAGACAGCCCCTACACTGGCTTTAATGAACTCATCTTAAAAAGAGAAATCAGTGCTTTGGTATCTCATCGAGAATACAATGGACTGTTTGGACGTGGCTGGAGAATACAATATGTGTAAGCATTTTCTTACATACAGTTACATAATTATACATAGTAAGGATAAATCTATCCAATACGTAGGTAATGAGTCATTATTGTATATCACCATTACACTGTATGACAAATACTTTAGGCCTATTATTTTCTCCGATCTCCGTCAGTAGATATAATACTTTCAGTCGTGCAAGTTTGTGTGTGTGTGTGTCACGTTTTGATGTTTTCGTGTGGTTCTTTTGTGTACGACATATCTCAAAAACAGCTGCACAGACACAATTGAAAATTACAAAGAGTGTTAGGTATAACCCAATGAAGAAATTATTATATATTGGTGACGGTCCGGAGTAGGGTGTGGTTGTGAGGACCATTTAAATGGATTTTAGAGCAAACGTCCTAGACAAGGTATCTCAAAAAATAATTAACTGATATGAATAAAACTTTCGTGAAAATTTGATGTGTGAAAAAAGGTGTTGGTCACAACCCAAATTTGGGGTACTTGAGGGCAATTTAAATTGTTAAGGTCGTGTGTGTTTCTTGTGTTAAAAATATCTCAAAAACAGGTGCACGGATCTTAATTGGAAGATACAGGGAATGTTAGGTATGACCCAAGGATGAAGTGATTAAGTTTTGGTGACCATCCGGAGTAGGGTGTGGATTTGAGGACCATTCAAAGGAAAACGTCCCAGATCAGTTATTTCAAAAAATAATCAACTGATATGAATGAAACTTTCGTGAAAGCTTAACCAAAGTACAAGAAAAAAATTATGAAATACAGGTGACGATCCAAATTCGTCTGTGCATTAGAAGGCCAAAGGGTTCTTGACCTATATATCTCAAAAATTGATCAATGGATAAAAATGAATAAAAAATTGTGTCAATTTTGGTCACGATCCAAAGTAGGGCGTGGGTATTAAGACCATTTAAAGAATAGGTTTACCGTATTACCTAGGCAGAAACAATATGAATATTTAAATTAGTGCAATTACAGTAAAGGTGTACAGCGTTTTACATATACTAAATTCACATTTTTGGACCTTATTGGGAATATTTTTAATTTATCTTTACATTGAAACATGTGACGCTAAAAACCAAATCCCCCTATTTCTATTTCCAAAATATTTTCATTTCAACACCAATATATTGCATGTATTTTGTTTGTCAGCAATAAGAGTACATCTTGCCAGTAAGTTAAACAAGCACTCGTCTGGAATTGGAAGATACAATAAAAGGCGTTCGAAAATTGAAGTGATTATACAGTATTTTGGTGTCAATTATGGACCATTCAAAGCAAGATTAGATATCTCATAAACTAAACAACTTAACTCAACTAAACTTTCGTGTTAGTCTAAATATTTTTTTAAGTAGATTGTGGTTGATAGTTGGAAAGTAGGAACATATTTTTGAGGAAATTTTTTTTATAGAAAGAGATTGGCGGTGGGCGGAGGTATGTTCTCTACTGAGTGCTCTTGTTATTATTCTTATTCACGTCGTTGTTATGCATTATTTTAAAAAAAATCATTATACTTATTATATTTTGTATATTATGACACGTTTTCAGTGACACAAGACTGGAGGAAATCACCGGCGAATTTGTAAAACTTCGGAGAGGATATATAGTGGACTCTCTCTCTATCGTCACTTACAACTTATATGAACTACCTGTTCTTGGAACTATCGAAATCAAAGCTGATGGTAAAGCATGTATTATTTCTTCATTTGTCCTACCAAATCCAATATATATTAAAATTATTTTTCATGTATTATCTCCACAATACTTTAGCAACCAGGGCTCAGTACGGTATTACAATCTTTCTAAAGCATCAAAAATACACCTTCCAATAAATGTATAAATAACAATTTATATAGCATTTTCTATTAGAAAATAAATTTTAAAAGTAAAACAGTATATTTAGCTACACCTTTTTCTTTCTAGCTCTGAATAACTTATTTTCTTATTTAAGAAATTGTGTTTGCTGATAGACAATCATCTATTGTTTCCTACTACCATTTTGATAAGTCAAGTAAACTACTGCAGTACATAGACAATGATTTAGACAAATCAAAGCTGTACTTCCACTACGCACAGACGTCAAACCGCTTGGAACGGATGGTTTCAACGTCGGATGTTACAATTGATTTTCTGTACAGTAACGCTGGTTTGATTGAAACAGTTATTATGTCAGTCTCGGGAGAAGAGGTGTCGCTAGCAAGGTACAACTTCTAATTACATAAGTGAACATCTAATGAAGAAGCTGCCAGCTGAAACCTTTGCAAATTCTAATTGATGACTATAATGATACCATAATATTAAAACTAATAATGAAAATATTCAATAATAATATGAACTTGTTCCAGTGCATCAAATTCATCATTAATATCAATTGAAGCCATCATTGCTTTTTATTCGTTTATAGCATACAACTCCAACAACGTCCAATACTATTAGTATATACAACTACTTAGTAGGCAGTATAATCATTGTCACTGTCATTTCCAACATCAAAAATGCTATAACTCAATGGTTAAAAAAGGCTGTACTCATAATTATACATTATGTCAGAGTATCTGCAATTGTTTTGGTAATTAACTATTTTGTTACTTAACAAACATTCGGAAACTTTTTTTATAGCTATCGGTACGACATCGATTCTCAGTTCTTGACGTCATCAGATATCAATGGTCAAGTAACGTACTACAGTTACACCAATGATGGCGCACTTGAATATGTTACTTATTCTGATGGCTCGATACAGAAATATTTGTACGATGAAAGAAAGCTGTACTCCGGGTCATCGAGAGTTTCTGGTGACGGGGTGTTAGAATCTAGTCTAAATTTCACAAACACAGGCAATGGACGCATAGAATTTTTACATATGCCGAGTACCGAGTTGACAACAATAATTGTTGATGAAATAGGAAATGCCGGCTACGTAAAAAGTGTCGGAAGCGTGTCCCATCGATTTATTCGTGATTATAACAATGAAGTTAAAACTGTCTATGTGGGTGATCAGGTGAGTATGTGCAAATGGTACATGATGAAAAGTAAAATTGACGAATGTAAAATGGTAAATATTGCATGAATACTGTGATGAATTTAAAGATATCTCGTACGTATGAGATTATCTCGTACAATTATAATGTTGGTAAGAATAAAACTAATGTCACATTTTATTTTCCTAATGTTGTTTTTACATAGATCCTAAAGAAAGAAACACATGATGTGGACACTGGGACTTTTTTCGAAGTTGATCCTAATGGAGATGAGACTTCAATTGCCTTTTCGCCAAATGGTGATATACTATCTATTACTGATGGTAACGGAAACATTCGTACTGGAGCGTACGAAGATAAAGAAACAATCATTACATATCCGGATATGACAACTGAGAAAGTCACATACGATGATAATAACTACATAAGTACTTTTAAATCGCGATCTGACAAAATCACAGAATTTAATTATGATGACGGTGGCAATCTTGTTTACAAAAAAATACACGAAGAAGATCCGATCTATTACCAGTACAATGAACGTGGATTTGTCACGCAGGCTACAAATGCAGTCGGTACAATCTCAATTAGATACAACGACAACGGTTTCCCTTTGTCGGTGACGTATCCTAATGGCAAAGAACTTCATTACGAGTATGAACGCAATCTTAGGACGCGACTTTATGACAACGAAGGGTATGATATAAAGTACGTTTATGACAAGTTTGAAAGGCTTATAAATATCGTGGATGACGGTTCCCGGATGGAAATATTGAGATTAGAGTATGATGAATTACAACGAGTAACTGAACGAAAAACTGGTAATAACTGTTCGACAATCTACAATTACAGCGCCATTGATAATAGGCTGGAAGGTCAATATATGTTATGCCCAAATACCAATGGGGACCAGGCACTGTTGGTATCGGAAAGCTATGAGTTTGACGGACGTGGTAGATTGAAAGTGCTGAATACAACACATGGAACTTGGAGATACGGGTACGATTCTGCTTCACAATTAATCTCGTGGACAGATCCAACAGGAAAATCGACTGAAATAAAATATGATAATGCGGGTAATAGACGTATATTAAAAGTAAAGGAAATCTCGAATGCCTACGCCGTAAATAATCTTAACCAATACAAAAGTTTTGGAAAATATGAAACTTGGATACATGACTTGAATGGAAATTTGATAGAGATAACACCTGACAACCTATTAGCAGATACGGAGCGTTACACGTTCAATGATGAAAACCGACTCAAATTTTTGTCCTCATCGTCACAAGACTGTAGTCTTGAGTATGATGCGCTCGGAAATCTTTACCGATCGACATGTGCTGGCCAAACAACACAGTATCTAGTTGATCCTTTTGGGTATTTTGGTGGCGAAATTATATCTGAGGTATTATTGTTTATAGTTTGTAGCATAGAGTTTAAATGATTGCATTGCTTGATAGTGAAACATACAGTATAATATAATTAAAGAAATCATTCCAAATAATTT